CCTAACCCTAACCCTAATCCTAACCCTAACCATATCAAATAGTGACCAGGGTACGTTCCGGTATACCGGACCGTACCCAGGGTACGTTCCGGCAGTACCCTGGGGGACATAGACTCCATGTTGTGCCTAGCTCCAAGAAACGTTATTGCTAGGGTTAGAATGTACGATTGTACAATCGTACGAGAAGAGAGATCCAGAGAGACCGGGTACAAGATGGCGTTGCGCAAAAGATGCGTTATTCCCCGACCGCCGAGAGCGGTTAAGCCGCGCACTTCCGCGGGACTGGGCGCACGCGACCGCGGGTGTTGTATGTAGCATCTCGCGCTGCCCGCTATACGAATTCGCGCGCCGAAGGAGGGCGGGCGAACGAATCCAGATAGCAGGAAGCGTAACATCGCGCAGTTTTCGTGAGACGTACACCGGCTTGACTACAGCGACCTTGGGGGGAGGGCATTTCCTACTGCTGCTGCGTTGCTGCTCCAGAGCCGCGCTGCAGCAGCTAGCAGGGACCAGTATTTGGTGCTGCTGCTGGTTTGCCACGCCAGCCACGCTGGCCACGCCAGTGCAGGTGCTCGCACAACGTGCCGTCGCCACGGGCAGCGCGGGGTCAGGAGGTTGGTTGAAACGTGGCACGTACGCAGCCAGGCGCCGCCACGGCGGCACCGCTTTTGGAGATAGCATCTAGACCGCGCCCCCCACGTGGAGCGCCGTACGACACTATATATATGTCTATATAAATATCGACACACCACACTGATATAATAATATAATTAGGGGTGTAACGATATATACCGGTATATCGGTATATTGCAATATATTTTGAAAACTCGATATATCGCGATACAACTTCCGGATATCGATATTTTACGATACGGTGGTATAACAAGAAATAAATTACTTGACACTTGCCTTTATGTCTATATTGTTAATGGGCTCGAAAATTATGCACTGGCGTGTATATATTACGAAAGCACAATGCCTGCACGACGCATACAATATTACTGGTAAGCGACCACTGCATGGAGCACTGTGCGGTACTACTGCGCGGGCAGAGTGGGGCAGACGCGTGCGCGAGGCAGAGAGCACGGCAACTATAGGAAGTATATATATAGCCTATGCTCGCCTGAGTGCCCGCGCGCGCGCGATACAAGCTGAAGCGAGCACCCACTGTTTCAGTTTCAGTTTCAGTTTCGGTATCCAGTATTAACCAATTATGCAGCAGGGGTATTGTGTATTCCAGCTACGTCAGTGCCTTCCGAGAGGGTATTCAGTACACCGGGTGACATTGTTACGGCACAGAGGGCTACACTGTCAGCGGAAAACATTGCCGTACTTCTGTTTCTCAAGAAAAACATGAGAAATTAAATCATGTCATATAATACAATATATGATGATATTAAAACCATCAAATTGTTACTATATCATGCATGGTATACACTTCCCAATACGTATTTGAAAATATTGCAATACGGTTTTGTCGTATTGCAATATATTGCAATACGGTTTTTGGTCGCAATACTCACCCCTAAATATAATATAATATAATAATATGAAAAGGCTCTATATATATCTATATGTATATACATCTGCATCTCAAAGTGTCTAGTCGCTACGTCTATATATACGTCATTGCTAAAGTACATAGTCACAGTCGCCAGTCGCTGGGTTGTTTCGGTATATATGTATATATATATACATATATATATATATATATATATATATATCTACTAGTACATGTGTACATATTTCTCCCTATTCCTGCACATAGTGTATTATTATGTATCTATATATATATATATAAATATATATTTATATGTATATATACATATATATATATATATACACATATATATCTATATATACACATATATCTATATATACACATATATATATATATATATGTCTTTTTATATGTATATATACATATATATATCTATATGTCTTTTTATATGTATATATCTAATATATATTTGAGTTCGTATGTATGTATGTATGTATCTTCTCTATAGGCGGCCAAACCGCCCAAGCGATCTGGATAGAATTTTCACAGGGCCATCTCTTATACCCGGGGAGTGTTTGTAGCTGAAAAAAACCTGCCAAACCGTCAAACTCACCAAAAAATCCGTATCCGTGAAAAACCCCTCAATTCGTCAATCTTCACACATTATCAGCACTGACTGTACAGTGCTGCCACAGAAAGAAAAATCGATTTCCTCATCTCATCCGGCTGCTGGTATTGTGAAACCGAAACCGGTACTAAAACAGAGCACAACCAGGATATATTTATGTGTCAGTGTGCGTGTGTTTACAGTTGAAACGCTTCAAGTGCGCTGTTGTTGCAACTGGCATTGTTTTAATCCAAGAGCTTTGAAATGAGAAGTGCAACCCATTTGTACATGCTGTTCCAATAACTTTTTTCTTATTTAAGCAACCATATACTATTATGTTCCAGGGTTTATCGTTGGGTTGTTGCTGTCATAATAAATTTCATACGTAACCGTTTTTTACCACCTGCTTATTATATGATTACACTGATTGTTAAATTATTTATAGAGATTCACTATAGTTTAGATGAGTCATTATTTAGTTTGATGAGGTTTACTGATTGCTCAAAACATCAACGATAAAGACGCGTACCAAGTCAGTAACACATTCTTTTGTAATTACAAATTTCCGCACTCGGCTGGCCTGTGCTGTATTACTATATATCGACTTTTTTTATTCATGCTACGATTTAAGAATCATTTAACCATTCGAAATGCTTAATGCCTTTTCTGATTTTCAGTTAGAAAAATTCCTTCATTTCATATGTGCATGGTTGCGCGCAAGCACTATTCACTAGACAAGTATCCAATGCGACATCTAGACCCCACTCGCTGGCCTGTCTCTATCTATACTATATACCCAATTTCGTTATTCATCCTACGCATCTGACAATGAGATCGCTTGTACGTGGTGAGCTCTAACAGTTCGAGACGGCCAGCAATTCTACGATATTTACCCACGCAACACAATAACACGGCAACCATTGTTTATCTAAAGCAGGTTTTACAAATATGAAACTTGCCAAGACCCAGTTCGTACATTGTCTGTTATAATAACTTTTTTCTCATTTTGCACCATATATCCATTATCGTTCCAGGGTTTTCTTAAGTTGGGTTCTGCTGTCATATAAATGCATACGTAACGAGTTTTTCCCCATTGCTTATTATCTTATACCACTGATTTACTAAATATATGATATTGTCGCTGGCAATGTTTATATTGTCGATTTTTACCCAACTGTTCTTATTGTGCCAAGTATTATAGTAAGTAATGAATTAGTAGCCACATTTACCCAGCGCAGCGGTACCCAGCAGCTAGTACAATTATAATATATCTATATATACCATATCGATATTTGCGATATGTGGATGCCATCAAAAAATGCGTGCACCTAAACAGATTGGAAGGCTTTTGAACAAGGTATGTACGAACTATTCACTTTGTTGCAGGACTTTCAGAGTAAGATGCGAAAATACAGACTCGCCAACCTTGTTGACAATGTCTTCTCGAAGAGCCGCTCTGTAAGGCCTATAACTGCGCTGACTGGGTCCAGACAGAAGACAAAAAATGACATCAAAAAAAACGGTGACATGACGAAAATGAAAACTCTCGTGGAACGAAGAACGAGACCGTAGAACGTTACGTTTTCAACGCTTCGGGTGGCAGAAACAGGTGAGAAGATAGATGAACTTCTATGCGCTGGAGTTATCAAGTTTCTGTGACTGTAATTTTGGTACATTGAGAACGTTCTCCATTTACGCGCCAGGCATGAGCACACTCACAATTGGTATCACTGCATGAGCATCCAAAACAAGCTTGTTGTATGAAACAACGAACCTCACGTTGGAAAAGCACTCCTTAGGTTTGCTCATCCCATTCACGCCAGGTCTCCAGACTTGCAAGACAATCGGAAAGCTGCGTCGCAGTCACCCTCCTCGGCCCGTCCTGCAGATGTGGGTGCAGTCGACGAGGAAGCGCATTCACGAAGCAATGCCGCGTCACACCCCCGAAGAAGAAAACACGTGGTCATCATAGTCATGGTAGTTCAGCGCCATGTGGTGATCCTTCCGCCACGTAACTTGGTGGAAGAGGGCCTCCACGATCGAAAGTTGTTGTCCAGCTAGAGAGCAATAAAAACTGTTCAGCAAGTGCGGGTACAGAGGGACATTTTGGTCAATCGTGCTGCAGAAAAAGTCCGTACCATCCTCAGTCGAATTCCGCCATCAGGGCGTACGTCGAAGTACTCACATCTACTTCTTCTGATCAGGAGATGCAATTTCCTCGCTGTGGATCAGCAGGCGTTATAATTCTGATCAATCAGTGATTGGCAAGGCTTGACGGCCCCCGTAGATGCGCTCTGATCAGTTTCCGTGTCGATACGGTGCAGCATGTAACAGTTATATCTAGGTCGTTTAACGAGAAACATTCAAGCATAGAATGCTGTTTCCCG